AGATGAGCAACAGCAAGAGATCCCAAATAACAATAGATATCTAGATTTAGGCAACTAAACTGAGCCTTAAAATTAATGTGTCTTGTTCAGGAGCACAGAAGATACATGAAGTTGGTATGAAGATAGTGCAAAGAAAGCATATACTTGTCCAAAAATCCAGAAGTTCTAATGTAAAAGAAATTCCGTTTCTTAAGTCTAACATTTGTTTTTGTGTTTTGTTTAGATGCTGCCATTATTATTTCATTTTGTGGTATTTCCTTTTCAATGGTTGATTATCAAATATCACTACGAAAATCTCTGCCTGATAAAGAGGAATTGCAAGTGCTTCCCAAGTTAGTGTATCTCTTCTATAAACTGTTCTCCATCACTTCTTGGATACTAAGTATTTCACTGATCACTCTACTGAGTGTTAGAAGTTCTGTAATTCTGCTGATACTTCTTTGGAGCTGCGGTTTTGCCTGGACTTTGAAACAGCACACAACATTTTGCAAATCCACAGAGATGGAATATCTGTACAGAACTGTTGTTGGAATCATTCTGCTTTTTACTTTTTTTAACATAAAGGGGAGAAAAACAAAAGCTTGCATTTCTATTTATTATGCTACTCACACCCTTGTAACTGTAGGTATTTTGCTTGTATGTTTGTTTTGGAAACCTGCTGTTATCAAGGAAGTACATCTTACAATTGTGAGCATCTTAACTATTCTCAGTCAGGTGTTAGGTATCATTTTTCTTGCTGTTTATTACAAGTATTTTCATCCCACTACTTATTGCAAGCATCAGACATTTTTTGACGAAGTTGATAGAAGGGGAGCAGACAATATGGAAGTTAGTAGATTTCAAAATTTCATAATGCAATGATCAGTATAGGTTTTGGTGTAGACTGCAAAGCAAAAACTTGCTGCAGAGTGTGCTTCTCTGTCTTTGTTTCTTATGTATTTTTACTAAGCAGCACTGGAGTTATTGGCTCTGAATAACTTTTCCACGATGTAATATAAAGTACCTTTATAACATGAATATTTCTCTGTGTTAGTCAGTGTTACTTTTTCTAAAAGGAATCTATTTATGCATCCGATCCAATTCACTGTTTTAGTTTTTAGCAGTGCATGTAGAACATAGGAAAACCTAAAAGCAAGTAAAATGAAAGTTAGCATTACCAATGTATTCTGTTTATTTATGTTAATTCTGTTAAAAGCAAGGCTTAATTTTCTTGCTGGAAGGAAAGAGAAATATTGAGGGGTGATGATCTGTGAGCTGGCTGTTTCTTCCCATTACTGTAAGAGTTGCAGTTTTTATATAAATGAGCATAGATACAAACTTCACTGCCTCCTCCTTAAACATCCTGTGAAGAAGAATGGCTTTGATTTATGACCCAATCACTGTCATGCTACAAGAAAACATGAGGAGTTATTTTAAAGCATTTTATCTTCTAGGTGTTTTAATGACTCCTTTATTGCTTTTGTTCTGCTAATCTTTCACACACCCCTTATTTAGGAGCGATGCCAGTTTGTTGTTCTGGACTATAATAGCAGCTTGAGTGATTTATTGACAGCAATACATGTCTCAGAAATAAAGAACAGCTATCTTCCTTGAAGCTTTCCTATCCTCTGAGCTCCAGGATACAATACTTAAATGCTAGCTTCCACTGAAGGATGAAGCTATGCAAGGTATGAAGTGTTACAGTTTCTTTAGTCTTTGCCACCAGCCACAGCTTTTTCAGAAATAAAACCTAAGGTGAAGTTTCTCAGAGCTGCTGGGTTTTTGAGTAACTTGAGTAATGAAAAATGGGCTTCTCTCCTCCGATAATTCACATTTCCAATTAGCATAGCCACAGGCAAAGGGAGGATACAGTGCTTGAGAAAGGAGACTAGAGATAAGCACAGCTGATAAACTTTGCCAGGAACAAAATCTGTTAGAATTATTGATTGACAGCAAACATCTCTTAAACTCTGGAGGGAGGGCTGATGCTTCGGTTGATACTTAGGGTGCTGAAGAGTTGTTTTCTGTGCTGCTTCGGCAGCAAAATACATGATTTTAGTGTGAATATACTACTCTTTTTCTACAATAAATAAATAAATAGGATCCTAAATAATGAAGACTAAAATCCCTTTATTTCTGTCTACACTTTTATTGTTTGCTCATCTGAAATCATGAGGAAGGGATTACGGGAAGGTAGGGTAGGAAAGTAAGAACATCATCTCGGAGAAAAACTACTTTTTCCTTTTCCTAACTACTACTTGGAAGAAGACCTCGAATCTTGCACATTATCTGGGAAGCAGATCTCTAGGGAAACATGAGCTTCTGAGAAACTGAGTGTCAGACTTCCAGCCCTGGGGCCTCCAGGTTGTCTGCCTGCTTGCCAGATGCCAGAAAGGTGGAGCCTGAGTTATGCTGGAGGTTAGTTTATGCTGAAACAAAGCAAACTTGTCCTAGTGACTTTTTTTTTTCCCCTCCCTTTCAGTAAACTGACAAATCCCAACTGAAAGTATTTCATTGTCATATCTCTATCTGATTCTTAACACTTTTTTTTTTTTCTTCCATGAAAATAAATGTGTACAGTGTGCTGGCTTCTATTTCTCCCCTTTTGCATTCTACTTATGTCTCATCATTCCCTCTTCTGAGCTACAGAAGAGGAATGTTACGTGGAAGTTAATTTGGCAACAAAGGGATCTATATCATAATTTATATCACATTAGCACACACACACACACACCTTATACTTAACTTTCATTCCCCATTTTATGCTTGTGTGTTCTTGAGGATCCAAGTTCATTCTTACTCTAAACTTTGGAACACATCCTTTGGGAAGCCATATGGGTTCTTTTCATAAAGCTTAAGCAGATCTTTGGTACCCTACCAAAGATACCAAAATGAAAATCTCCATTTTGCCACTATCAGTCAGCTGACCTTGAAGAAAAGTGAAGTGAATTCTTGTCAGCATGTCCCTTGTAGACTTTTTTCCCCTCAGTTTGAATATCCTTCCTTTCTTCCTGACCTGCATTCAATATTTTCTCTTAATCAATGAATTCAATGACTTTGAATATCATCCTAATTCATTAGGTCATCCTAATTCATTATAGCACAGAGAGGGAAAGGCAAGAAAGCATATGGTTTGGTTATAGACACATTTCATACCATCAGAGGCCATTCAGTCAAAACAAATAAACCCCCACTTCACCAAGGTGTAAAGTTCAAACAATAGATATTATACATGTCCTTTCTGTTCCCTGACTACTCTTAAAATTCAGCTGCCACTCAGTTTATGCATTGCATCTGACCTTGTCATTTTATTCTAACTGCAAATTGAAAACAAATGTTTTTTCTTTCTTTTTTAAAGAACATTTTTTAGGTCCATTACATCTTACAAGAAGTATTTTAATAAGTTAAATAAAAATAATAAACAATTTCTTCCTGTTTTGACTACTGTCAGGCCTAAGTAAGAGGGACAACATTCAACAGAGTTGTTTTAAGTATCCTACTAATATTCAATGTGGTATTTGATGGCATTGGTGAGCTCACCTGATGTACCACAGATAGCACTGATTTATGAAGCCATAATTGGGGTTCCAATAAACATTTGTCAAAATAATGTATTCATTCAAACCAAAGTCTTCTTTATTTATTCATATAAAAGAGCACTTAACTTTCAACAAAGAATTGCTAGCCATCAAAAACACTCCATAAACAGAGGAAATTTATGAAGACACAGTACCAGAGGGTGATCAGTGAAAGACTAGAGTTCACTTTAACTCTTCAGGGTGCTCCACTCTGCCTCTTCCTTGTTTTTTTGGACTGTACATATTTCTTCCTCAGAGCCCCAAGCCCAGAGGTTAACCTTTGTATATTTACACATTCAAAGTACCAGTCATCTTTTCTACCATAGTCTTATATCTCAAAGACTTTCAAACCTATGATCTTTCATTTTCATTATATGGTGTAGAAGTACGTATGCAACACAAAGGTAGTTGGTTTTAGGCTTACCAACATTTTTGCCTGAACCTGAAGCAATGTATGTACTTGTTTTTCATTCCCGCTGAATAATTTTCACATTCTGCCTCTCTCCACTCTTCTATATTTCCTTCCTATTAGTTTAGCTTAATTTTTTAGGTTTTTTTTTTTTTGTAGAGGGATAGCAAAATAGTGGAGCTGTACAACTGATAATTGAATGAAGTACAGAGATTCCCTTGGGATCCATCTTCAGATTTTTTTTTTTGTTTGTTTTGTTTTTAATCTCTAGATGTCTAGCATATAACAAATAGGAGTCAGTGAAGATTCTTTCTATGAGAGTCTTACATTCATCAGCTTAGCAAGAATGCACCTTGTTAGGTTACGGACCAGCACTTTAAACTTTCCTTAACCTGACAACTGTTGAAACTACAAACTGCACCAGCCTTTTGATATTATGCGTTGAAGCTAGGTTATGCATGTGTTTGTATTTTCAGGAACATTTTTGTTTTTGAGTACACACATTTGTAAATAGTAGAGCAGAATAAGAAACCATAGTAAAGATTTCAGGTGAACACTCATGTCTTAGTTAAATGATAGATTCTTATTTCACCAATCTCAATATACAGTCTTCATCATTATTGTCACTGTTACTGGCACTTTGTCTAGAAGTTCAGGATGACATGACAAGGAAGAACTTATGTCTATTGGAATGAGAATATAACGAAAAGTTGCTAGTAAAGTCCTCTGTACTTGTACTAGATTTTGCTTAGATATAATTTGCCAATATTATTCTAAAATACTTTTTCAGTTGAGAATAAAAGAACTTATTCCAAAGCAAATTCTCTTTGCATTCTCCACCATGCCACTGACTTCTACTTCTACTGTTCTTTTCAACAGCTTGGTGAATTTCATGAAAAGAAATATACAGGGTAGTTCCAAATTGTGGGGAAAAAAAGTTGTATCAAATTTTAATTAGTGGCTTAATGTCTATAACTATAGTAAGTATAGTATAGTAAGACTTTAACAATAATTGTAGCTATCACTAATTTATGCCTTTGGAAAAACAAAAACCTCGAAGCCCCCCCTCCAGCTTATTTTCTCTCAGGCAAATAAATGTTTATATGTATATAGTCAGCACTGTAATTCAGGCAGCTAGGTGTGGTCTTCCTCAGTCTGGATGAACAACATAAGACTCAAATAATGTTTTGGTAATGAGGGATTGTGCATGGGATAACAGAAGTGAATAACTCACCAGCCTTTTCATAGGCAGTAGCTTCTCACTCATCAAGCAGGGCTGGGCCTGCAGGGTTCAGGTCGAAGTGGTCTATGTGAAAGATGGATGGCACCTTGTTTTCTACTTTGTGGCTTGTTAAGCTTGGCTATTTGGGGAAAGGATGGAGCAAGTTTTCAGCTTAAATGCTTCATAGAAAAGTAACAGAATCCCATGAAAAACACTAAGCCTCCCACTTCCAGCTTCAATTTGTCAATAAGATGAGCAGAACCAGTGACTGTCAAAATAACAATTTGCTGTTCAAAAAAAAAAAAAAACCAACACATCAATATGGTCAATGGTATCTCATGTATGTGTCAGACAGCCATATTCAGAGCCAAAAATTTAACTTTGAGATTAAATTTAAAGACTCCCAGCTGATTTTTTTATTAAATAAAAGGTTTTCCTAGAAGCCAATTGAAGTGAAACTGTCAGTACTGATACAGCTTAGTGTAGCTAACCTCACAAAGATGATGATCCCCAGGGCCTTCTGTCAGCTGTTTTCCAAATGGGTGGCTTCAGCAAGTTCTGGTGCATGCAATTGTTCCTTCACAGATTCACGACTTCACAATTCTCCTTGCTGAACTTCACATGGTCCATCTCAGCTGATTTGGGACATCACTGAGATGAAGTAAGATGTACTAAGTTGGAAAATGCTAGTTATTCCTGCTTGCTATTCTTAGATCTGTAATCAATTACAAAATTAGTTAGATTAGTGGCTTATCTGACCACTCAACCATTTAACAGGGGTTGTCCTCTGTCATCTGAGCATCAGGGATAAGTCAACTTTTTGACATTCATAAATTAATATACTACATCTAGACAGACAATTAACTTTAAGTCAACTGCAGGTCAACAAACAAGACAAAAATAGAAACATCTGAAAAAATCTCATTTTGATAGTGATGATGTTGGAGATGTACTGCTAACAAATGAAAAGAAAGCATTCTCAGAAGGCAGCATAGCTTCCAAACCAGGAATTGGTTATTGTATGTCAGAACTACAACATCTTCACATTTAGGTAATTTATTTACCAATAGAAAAGCAACAATTGAAAACCCGTGCAGGGAGGAGCAGTGTTGTTTACCATATAAGCAACCATAAATGTGGGGGCTGCTTTCCATTTTCCTAATCCTTCTCTCTCATCTATGCTCTGTTGCCTAACAACTAATCTACTTCATGCATAAAGGGATAATTAGCAGTTCTAGCACTCACTATGCAGTTGATTATTTTTATTGCAGATGCTATTTTCAGAACAGGTTCCTTTAGGAACACATTCCTCACAGAATTACTAAAACTCCACAGTCTTTCAAAGAGGCATCAGGGCATGGCACGATCATTTTCTTGCATGGTAATCACGTCAGAAGTTCAGTTTGTGAAAACATTCTCGATTTTGATGACTTAGCTCACTAAGTGGTTATTAGAGAAAGGAATGTGATAAAGCGATGGAAATTGTTCCTAAGCAACATTTTGGATCACAGTCCTGTTTCCTACTCCCCCTGCTAACTGTGAGGGAATCTTTTTACCCGGTGTACAAAGATGGGAGGCTGACAATGCCAGGGGTAGAGTTTCTCTCTTTATCCATCAAAATTTACAACAAAAGTAAAGGCACAGTTTCAACCCATCCTGCCCCATCAAGTTAGACTCTTCATTTAATCAGTGCCAGCCTGAAAAACAAAAACAAAAACAAAAAACAAACAGAAAAAACCACACACCAACAAAACCAACAAAATAAACCAAAAAGCAACTACTAGGAAGCGGGAATTTGAATGTTAAAAGCTTGCAGAAAAATTACAATCTGCCAATTGGCATCAGTGTTGCTCATTTCTGTTAGTGTTAAATAAAGCAAAATAAATGAAAAATTTCTTAATTCTGAGGTTAGATTGCCTCAGTTACCCCTAGATGAGAACTTCAGTAGTGCAAACAAGCAGCCAAAGCTCTGGCAAAGTACTCAACTCAAGGGCTTGAGCACATCCATAGCTCAACAGTAAATACAGATAGCACATAAATACAGGCTAAGGGATTTGTATTTACCTGAAGAATTAGGGAATTATTCTAAGATTATTTATGAATCTCTGGTTGTTATAGAAGAATATTTCAGTCCTCCATCGGCCTAGACTTAACTTCAGTTTGATCAAGAACTGAATTGATTGAATAGTATTTGAATTGAGCTGATTGAATAGTAGTTTAAATGAAGGCAGTTTAAGCTATTTAAAGTTACTTGTGTTAATGAGTAAATCCCCTAACTTGGTAGATGGTCTGTAGATTTGGTCTCTCTTTAAGCAAGAAGACAGAGTGCACTTGAACTTCAAACTGATGTAAGATTTTATTTCTCAACCTTTTTTCTGAGTGGATTCTTTATTGCAAGAATACTATGCAATTCTAAAACTCTGCAGCACGCTGACCTCAAGTCCTACCATTCCTACTTATAAATAATACATTATAATTACAAAAGATATCCATAGGGAGACAAGCACAGTCAAACTGATATTACATCTTTCACACACAAAAAAAGCAGATTATATCAAAACTTCAGACTAGAGTGAACTGAAAAGTAGCATACAACAGGTGCCTGAAATTGCTATTGATGTGGAAAAGCAAATTACCACTCCCAGTTTGCCCATCTCTTGTGATAGGAGAACAAAGAGACATCAAAGAAAAGGTGTCATTTTCAAAATGAAAGGAGAAACTTACATGCTGTGGAAACTCTTGCCATGGGATGTGTTGGATGATAAGACATTGTGTGAATTTACTCAGCTATTGGAGAAAAATTGCAGAAGAGAAATTCTTGGAGGCCTTACTGAATACCAGCTTTGTATCTATTGATACAGACACAGTTTTGTCAGAAACTTGTCTCATTTTCACACCATCAGTATAAAACACCCTTCCCCTCAGGAATGGACAAGCATAAGACATACAGGGCCTGGAGACCAAACATGTCACTGGACATTTTTCATATAAGGCAACTATTGGAATTTGTAGTCCACACTCTTTGATACACCATTAATTTTGCAATGAAGCAGAAAACTGAACTTATGGAGATCCACATCTTAAGCATGCAGTTCTAATTTGTTAATGATTACTTGAAAATGTTAATAGGAATGGGTTGCCACAAGCACATTAGCAACTTTAAGGACAGCTAATAAGGGTAACCACCTACCACAATGTCAGAGTAAAGAAAATTTAAAAAGGCAAGTTGAAAAAAAAAAAAACAACAACTGGATTTTTTTTATTTTTGCTTGAAAAAAACCACAATGGTTTGAATATGTCAGTTCCAATCACTGAACTGACACTACTGAATCCAATTTTCTCAGTGCCATACTAGGGAAACAGAAAATAAACAGCTCAACAGAGGAATGGCAATGGCTACTCCAATCCTCCCCAGAAAACAGACCAGTGCTGTCATTGCTCTGGTGTACATTAAGAAAACAAGGAAAGCCCCGGGAACTGTGAACTGACAATGAAAGTAGTACTATTCCACTTTCAGTGGAACGCTACCTAAAAAGCTCCCTTAGAAGTAAAGACTTAAATATGTGAGTGCCTTCAGAGCACCGAAGTGCGTGGAAGAAGGAGGGAGACACATATAGACTACTGCAGACACAGGAACAGAATTCAAGCCTCTAAATTAAGGTGTACCCTGTGGAGAAGCAGGGCTAACATCTCTCACTGAGATAAGTAATTTGAAAAGGCAATGAACCAGAAAATAAACATGAGTCTACTGACCTGGAATCATAGTTCTTAGCCTGCTGGAATAATGAAGCACCCTGCATCCAATTACCAGTTGTCTGCTATACATTTGTATCCCTCAATGCGCATTAGTTTCCAAACATTTTAAAGGATGGAACATAATGCTCTGACGAGGAACACGTTTGCATGCTGATACAACTGTTTTCTGTAAAGTTTATTTATTTCACCTAAACTTCTATGCTTTCTTAAGTATAATAGCTTTGTTAAAAATGAGCCAAGCAGCACAAATGCTACCGCTCCACATAGGAAAGCGGCCAACACTGTCAGTACATAACATGAATTTATTGTTAACAAAGTCCTCCAGATAGCAATTGCTATATATGGAATTAACTGTCACTACTCCAGCAAAAGTGCATTAGAAGTCTGTAGCTTCCATTTTCTTTCTGAAATAATGAAAGAAACTACTGACTCTATCAATAACATAGTTTTTATAAAACTTTAACAAAGCAGAAAGATCATAAGTAGACCTGAACAATGCTTTTCTCTACTGCATTATTCCTACTGCATGATAAATTTCTTACCAGAAAAGGCTTCCACTGTCAGCAGCATCAGCTTCAACTGGGTGTTTCATTCTGGGGAGGAACACTACAGATAGCATCAGAAGCAGAGAAGCACCACAAGCAGGGACAAGCCAGGAGCAAAGGCTGAGAAGAGCACCAGTAGCAATCTTCCAGTCAGCGTACAACCACGCTGTTCCTGGTCAGGATCACGTTGGCCACAATTACTACAAACTATCAAATGACAACCTCCAAAAATCTAAGGTTTCAGGTTCCAAGCCCAGCCAGGACAGCGGTCAGAAACAGCAAGGCAAGGATCAGTAGCAAGGTTCCTGCACAGGATATGTATCTAGAAGCTGGAATTAAATTAGAAAACAAACCAGCTCCACCACAGAACCACCGCTAAACAGACTAGGGAAACAACAAGAGCTCAGGGCTGAACTTAAATGGAGATCCTAGGCCCAGGAGCAGAGGTGCAGTGGAGGTTCCAGGTGAGGCTGGTCAGGGCAATTAAAGCTGATCAGTGTAATCAGGCTCATAGAGAATCACACCCAGCAGGAAAGAGAGAAAGCACACTTTTTGATTTGACAGCCTAATTTGCAAAGGAAAGCGGGGAAATTTCTCAGTCTCACCGAAATTCTTGGCTATCTTCATAGAATCATAAAATGGCTTGGGTTGAAAAGGGCCTCAAAGATCAGCTAGCCCCAGTCCCTACCTCCCACCAGCTCAGGCTGTCCAGGGCCTGTGCAACCTGGCCTTGAACACCTCCAAGAATGGGACACCCACAGCTTCTCTGGGCAGCCTGTGCCAATGCCTCACTACTTTCTCACTAACATCTAATCCGAGTCTCCCTCTTTTAGCTTAAAACCTTGTCCTATCACTATAAGAATGTGTAAAAAGTTGATTTCCATCCTGCTTAAAAGCTCCCTTTAAGTACTGCAAAGCTGCCGTGATGTCTCTTCTGAGCCTTCTCCAGGCTGAATAATATCATGCAGTATTTAAGTGCTCAAAACAAGCAGGTTCTCTCTTAAACTTAGGGAAAAGTCACGTTTTATCTCAGTGAGGTCAGTAATAAAATTCCCATCAATTTCAATCAGGTCAAGGTTTTACCTTCCCATTTCTTTTCCTGAGCTGCTGCTGTTTTGAAGTCAATCACGGTAATAAAAATAATTAGAGGAAGTGCCACAGACTCTCTTTTTCCAAGCCTTTTCTGGAAATCCCATGAATCGCTCTTATACCAGTGTGTTTTATACTCCCTACTTTGACCCTTTTGTCAGGCTAACGGCTTGCTGATTGAGAGTCAGATAAACCTACTCCAGAGCACATTAATATCATTCGCTTTCAGCCAGAGGTCTGGGTCAGCAACGTGAGCATGAAATATGCCTTTTGTCCTGACCTGCTGATGGGGGAAATGTTGCTCTATTATAGGGCTTGCTGGTCCAAGCTGAAGGCGTCCCAGCAAATGAACCTGGAGTTTGGGGCCTTCCTATGGCAATTCTTTATTCCAATAATGACTATCTTTACTGTGAACTTTTATTGGCAATGCTTTTACTGTATCTGCTTGTGGAAATGGATTAATACTGTTAGTGTTTCTTATCATAGACTTTGGAATATATGAGATTTTTTTGATTTTTTTTTTTTTTAATTTAAGTAAACAGGCTGAGGTACTGGAACCAATAACATGCCAGGAGTTTATACATGTGAAATCCTATGACCTGTATGTCACAGAATCATAGAATTGCTCAGGTTGGAAAAGACCTTAAAGATAATCAAGACCGACCTCAACCTAACCATACTATCCTAACTCTAACAGCCCTCCGCTAAATCATATCCCTGATCACCACATCCAATGGTTTTTAATGCATCCGGAGATGTTGACTCAACCACCTCCCTGAGGAGCCTATTCCAGTGCTTAACCACCCCGTCTGTAAAGAAGTGTTTCCTGATATTCAACCTAAACTTACCCTGGTGCAACTTGAGGCCATTTCCCCTTGTCCTGTCACCTGTCACCAGTGAGAAGAGACCAACCCTGCTCTCGCTGTAAGCACCTTTCAGGTATTGGAAGAGAGCAGTAAGGTCTCCCCTCAGCCTCCTTTTCTCCACACTGAACAGCCCCAGTTCCTTCAGTCTCTCCTCATAGGCCATATTCTCCAAGCCCTTCACAAGCCTTGTTGCCCTTTTTTGGACCTGCTCCAGCACCTCAGTGTACTTTTTGTACTGAGGCACCCAAAACTGAACACAGTACTCGAGGTAAGGCCTCACCAGTGCTGAGTACAGGGGCAGGATGACTTCCCTAGTCCTGCTCATCACACCATTCCTGATACAAGCCAGGATGCTGTTGGCCTTCTTGGCCACCTGGGCACACTGCTGGCTCATATTCAGCCGACTGTCCATCAGAACACCAAGGTCTGTTTCTGTCTGGAAGCTTTCCAGCCACTCCTCCGCTCCAGCCACTCCAATTCCATAGGGTTGCTTGGGGTTGTTGTGACCAAAATGCAGGATGTGACACTTGGCCCAATTGAAACTCATACAGTTTACCTTGGCCCACTGATCCAGCCTATCCAGCTCCCTCTCTAGTGCCTTTCTCAAAGATCAGAAGGCTGGAGCACCTCCCCTATGAAGAAACGTTGAGGGAACTGGGCTTGTTTAGCTTGGAGAAGAGAGGGCTCTGGGGAGGACTCATTGTGGGTTTCCAATACTCGAAGGGAGCACTGAACAAGAGGGGGAACGGTTGTTTACAATCACAGAATTGTAGGGGTTGGAAGGGACCTCCTGTGATAGGACAAGGGGCAATGGTCTTAAACTGAGACAGGGGAGGTTTAGGTTAGATGTTAGGAGGAAGTTTTTCACACAGAGGGTGGTGACACACCGGAATGGGTTGCCCAAGGAGGTTGTGGATGCCCCATCCCTGCAGGCATTCAAGGCCAGACTGGATGTGGCTTTGGGCATCCTGGTCTGGTGGTTGGTGACCCTGCACACAGCAGGGGATTGAAACTGGATGATCATTGTTGTTCTTTTCAACCCAGACCATTCTATGATTCTATGATTCTATGATTCTATGATTCTATGATTCTAT